CGTCGTCGTCGGACGACTCGTCCGTCGACGCGCCGCCGTCGTTGTGGCCCCGGTTCCGCCGCCGCTTCTTGGAGGCGACGACGACGAGCGCGTCGCCGCCGTCGCGGACGTTGCAGCGGAGCGCCGTGTCCGTCACCGTGCGCAGGCGGCTCGCGAGCAGGGGCCAGCCGAGCGTGCGGCCCGCGCGCGCGCCGAGCTTCGCGGCCGCCGCCGCGGCCGCGGCCGCGCGGCCGCTGTCGCGCGCGCGCGTCCGCGCGATGGCCATCGTCAGCTGGGAGAGCGCGACGCGGTTCCGCCGCACGCGGCTGAGCGTCGCGTGGGCGCGCCGCTGGACGTCGCCGAGCGTCAGGGCCTCCGCGCCGACGGCGGCGAGCGTCGCCTCGATCGTCAGGCGCGCGCGGCGCTTCGCCTCCGCGTGCGACATGCCGCCGGGGCGCTGGTGCTCGCCGCCCGCGGAGACGTCGTCGTAGGTCGAGTCGTCCTCGCCGTCGGGCTCGCCGTCGTCGTCCGGGTCCAGCAGCCGCAGGGCCGTGGGCCACCAGCCCTCGGGCGCGAGGGCCTCGAGGCGCTCCGTGAGCTTCTCCGCCTCCGTCGCGAGCGCGACGAGCATCGTCGACGCGTCGGCCGCGTGGCGCTTCGCGACGAGCGCGCCGTCGCTCAGGGACGACGCCTCCGTCGCGTCCGCCGCGGCCTGCTGCGCCTCCGTGGCGATGATGGAGTTGACGCGCGACTTGCGCACGAGCGTCGCGCGGTTGATCGTGAGCCGCGACATGGAGTGCTCGAGCTTCTCCTGCTTCATCGCGTTCTTGGCCAGGTAGGCCTCCCGCGCGCAGGCCTTGGCCGCCGCCGCGGCGACCGTGAACTTGCCCTGGGGCGACTCCATGCCGCCGCCCTTGAGCACCTTCTTGGCCTTGCGCGACGTGAGCCGGTCGACGAGGTGCCGCTCGCCCTTGACGAAGTTGCGGTGCGCGTTCTTGGCCAGCACGCCGGGCTTGCCCGCGGCGGCGATGAAGTCGCGGGCCCAGGCGTACTCGGCGTGGGACACCTCGAAGGCGTCGTCGTCGTCGTCGGACTCGGACTCGGACGCGTCGTCGTCCTCCTCGAGCGACTCGCTGTCGAAGGTCTCGTAGGAGCCGACGTCGCCGAGGCTGTCCTGCTCGCCCTGGGGCACGTCGTGCTCGTGCTCCTGGCGCCGCAGATTTTCAAAGGCGAGCTCGGACGCGCGGTGCTCCTCGCGCGTCTCGCCCTCGTGGAAGCGGTCCGGGTTCGGTTTTTCCTCTTCCTTCTCCGCCGGCTTCTGTTTGTCCGCGCGGACGACGTGGCCGCCCTTGTCGAAGAGGTGGTTGTCGTCCTTGTAGATGGAGTCGGGGATGTCGCCCGCGTCCGGGACGACGGCGCTCGCGGCCTTGTCGAGCTCCGTCTCGTCGATGAACGACGGGAGCCGCTGGCCCGCGGCGACGACGACGTCTTTCAGGAACGCGTTGCCCGCGCGGTTGCCGCTGTCCGCGCTGTCGACGGACCCCAGCGACCCCAAATCGTCGGGCACGGCGAGCTGCTCCTCGGCGCGCTTCTCGCGCGAGGCCTGCGACGCGTCGTCGCCCGTGAGGCCCGACGCCTGCGACTCCTCGTCCTTGGACGCGTCGTCGCCGTCCGACGGCGGCGCCCGCGACGCGCGGCGCGCGCGCGACTCGCGGCGCCGCTTGCGGTCCTCGCGCAGCTTCTTCGCCGCCGCGGCCATGGACAGCGCGTCCTTCTCGACCTGGCTCACGCGCGGCTTGCCGCCCGCGAAGCGCGAGCCCCGGCCGTCGAGGCGCGCGCGGAGCTCGGAGCCGACGACGCCCTCGACGCGCTGCCGCAGCCCCGCCGTGCGGTGGTCCACCAGCCCCAGATCGATGAAGCGCGCCGCGAGGCCCCGCTGCTGTGCCTTGCTCAGCCACTGGAGCGGCGCGCGGAGGCGCCCGAGGTCGCACCAGTGGCCCGCGTCCGCGCGGAAGTACGCCGTCGCGCCCGACGGCACGTGCTTCGCCTGGAGCGCCACGGCGCCGCCGTCGCGCCGCGCGGACACGAGCCAGCGCTGCATGGAGACGCGCCCCAGGCCGTCGTCCTCGACGTCGCGCGCGGACGCCGTCGGCGTCGCGAGCCGCGCGACGGACCGCCAGAGGATCTCGCCGTCCGCGGCGCCGTGGGGCCCCGGCGCGCAGGGCCCGGACCGCGACGACCCCGTGCGCGCGCAGGGCTCCTCCAAAGGCACGTCCACGGCGCCGTCGCCCGGCGGGAAGGCGCAGCGGCTCTCCGGCGTCGGCCAGAGCACGTGTTTCGACTTCTTGACGAGGAAGACGGGCGCGCCGTGGCGGCTCTCGAGGCGCATCGTCAGCGCGCGGCAGAGGAACCGCCGCTCCGCGTCGTCGAGCCACTCCAGGTGCGCCCCGTAGCCCAGCTCGGCCCAGTCGCCGAGCTCGAGCGTGAACGCGTGCTTGCCGCGGACCGCGGCCTCGGCCCGGTCGCCCGCGTCCGCGCGCCAGGCGAGCGCGCAGACGAGCTCGAGGTAGCCCCGGGGGCAGATGATCGAGCGGAACGTCAGGAACGACGGCACGTCCTTGAGGTGGCAGTAGACGTGCTGCTCCCACTTGCGCTCGCGGACGGACGCGAGCTCCTGGGCAGGACAAGAGAGATTCAACGTCGCTTCAACGTGAGTGTTCCGCGCGCGCGCGTTCCAGAAAAAGCATCCACGCTTCGAGGCCGTTCCGAAAGATGATCGCTCGTCCAAAAATCAGCCGAAACGAGTTGAAATCGGCCGAGATATGAGCCTTTGAAGTTGGGAATTTCGCTCTCTTGTCCTGCCCTGGCGAGCTCCGTCGACGTGCGCCCGCAGGACCGCGCGAAGACGAGCGCGCCGCGGCAGACGTCGAGCCGCGGCGCCACGGCGTCGCAGAGCCGCGCCCGCGACGCGTCGGTCCAGGCGCGGTCGCCCAGCACCTCGGGCTTGAAGCCCAGCTCCTTGACGAGCTGGTCGGGGACGCGCTTCCGGAGGAACGGCGGGCCCGCCCAGAGGCCGTTCGCGTGCCGCGGCTCGTCCGGGTCCGATATGACGCGCCAGGTCGCGCGGTGCGCGTGGAGCTCGTCCTCGTGGAGCTCGCCCTCGACGTCGCTGTCGTCCTCCTCCAGGAGCGCGAAGATGTCGTGGTTCAGGTGCGCGCCGCCGGAACCGTCCGCGTGGATGCCCGCGAGGTGGCGCTCCTCGGCGAAGGCGTGGCGCCGCGCGTCGTGGCGCTGGGCGTCGCGGTGGGCCCGGATCTCCGCCTCCTCCTGCTCGATCTGCTTGACGAAGAGCGCGCCCGGGTCCTCGCGCTTCTTCCGCCCCGGCGTCGTCGCGCAGACCGTCCACGCGATCTTCTCGGGCCCGAGGCCGCGGCTCTCGTCCTCGTAGCTCAGGCTCACGAGGGCCCGCTGCCCGCGCATGACGCGCGTGACGACGCGGCCGAAGCGCACGGGCTCGTGCTGCGAGATGGCCGCGCGGACGAGGTCCGCGGCCCTCGCGCGCGCGGCGACCGCGGCGCCGCCGTCGTCCGACGCGTCGAGGGCTCGTAACGCATGGAGCGGCAGCCAGAGGCGCTCCGTCGCGAGCAGGCCCTCGAGCTCGACCTGGGCCGCGTCGCGCTCCGGCGCGAGCTTGATGACCGTGCCCGCGGGGCCGCCGCGCGGGCCCCGGGCCTTCCAGAAGTGGGCCTCGTCGCGCGCGGACCACGAGCTCCGCACGCGCGTGCCGGGCTTGGGCAGGTCGCCGCGCCGCCGCGAGGGGACGCAGGTGTTGACCACCGTGCGGATGCGCGGCGACGCGACGGGGATCCACTTGTCGCTGAGGTCGTCGCGGCCGAGCTCGTGGAGCAGGACCTCGCTCACCTTGGGCTCGCCGGGCCCCGCGGACGCCATGCGCATGCGCTCCACGCGGCAGGGCACCCACTCGCGGAAGGACCACAAAAACACGAAGGCGCCGTTCTCGTAGCCGGGCACGGCCGACGACTCCGTGCCGTCGACCAAACCGAGGTTCTTCCGGAACCGCCGCTCCGCGAGGTCCGCGCCGCCGGCCTTGGCCTGGACGGCGAACATGCCCCCGAGCAGGGACTTGCGCAGCAGCTTGTGGCCCGGGCCCGCCGGGGGCTGCTTCCTCGCCGCGGGCGCCTCGCCCCGGCGCAGGTCGTCGCGGCGCTCGCGCGCCAGGCCGAACGGCGCGGGCTTCGGGTCGACGCGGTCGGGCCGCAGCGCGGCCTCGACGACGGCGGCGGCGCTCCGGCGCGCGCGCACGCGGTAGGCGAAGCGCTCCTCGCTGATCTTCGACGTGAGGCCCCGGCCGCCGCCGTACTCGCCGCCGCGACACCGCGCGACCGTCGCGTCGCCGCGCAACAGCCGCGCGACGACCCTCAACACGGCGAGCGCGCCGCCGTCGCCCTCGGCGTGGCCCGCCGCCTCGGCCGCCTCGGCGACGCGCGTCGCCGCCGCCGTGACGGCGTGGGCCCGCTCCGCGCGCGTCAGGCCCTCGAGCGCGCCGGGCCGGCCCTCGAGCCGCAGCGCGGCGCCGAGCCGCGCCGCGTCCGCCGCCGGCTCCTCGGCAACCTCCTCCGCCGGCGCCTCGGCGGGCGTGAAGACGACCTCGACGTCCTCCGCGACCTCCTCGGCGACGGGCTCCCGCGGCGTCGGCACGTGGTCGCTGCCCGCCGGGGAGCAGTCGTAGACCGCCTCGAGCCGCGGGCTCATGGTCGTCACGCTGTCGCTGTCGTGCAGCGAGTCGTTGTCGACGAGGCCGCGCACGTTGTCGAAGATGGCGTCGAACTGGGCATCCCAGTCCTCCCCATCGTCCGGCGCCTCGGCCATCGTTGCCCCAGCGGCGCTGCCGCGCTTACAGTGCATACAATGTGCATAGGTTGTTGCAGTCCGAAACGCAAAGCACTCTCGATTGCTCTCGATCGGGGCTGCGCGCGCGTCTTCGGGTGTCTTCGGGCGCCATGAGCCGCCTCGACGACCCGCGCTCCCAATTCAACATCAACGCGGGCGAGCCGCTCCTCGACGACTACAGCGTGCGCGAGTCGGAGCAGCAGCCCGAAGGCCGGGCGACGTTCTTCTCCTCCGTTGCCAACCTTTCCAACGCCATCCTCGGCGCGGGCCTCCTCGCGCTGCCCTATGGCTTCGCGGCCGCGGGATGGGTCGTCACCATCGCGCTGCTCGTCGTCGCCGGAGCGGCGTCCGCCTTCACGATGCACCTGCTGACGCTCGTGAGCCGCGAAGTCGACGGGCCCGCGACGTTCTTCGCCCTGGCGAAGAAGGCGCTGCCGCCGCGGTCCGTGGGGCTCATCGACGTGAGCGTCGTCATCATGTGCTTCGGCCTGGCGTGCAGCTACGTGATCGTCTTCAGTACGCTGTTCCCCTCGGCCATCGAGCGCATCGTCGGCCACGAGACGATCCTCAAAGCCCACCCCGTGGACCTGCTCTCGCGCCAGCTCTGGGTGGGCGTGGGCGTGCTGACCGTGGCGCCCCTCGCGTTCCAGGAAAGCTTCGAAAATTTGCAGTTCACGTCGGCGCTCGGCGTGATCTTCGTCGCCTACGGCAGCGCCATGGTCCTCGTCTACTGGGCGGGCCTCTGGGGCGCGGCGTCGTGCGGCGACGACGACGAGCTCGACTGCGCGCGGCCGAAGCGGCTCCACAAGGTCGAGCTCGACCGGGGCTTCGGCCCGCTGACGGCGCTCAGCATCGTCATCTTCGCGTTCACGGCGCACGCGCAAGTGCTGGGCATCGCGAACGAGCTCAAGGGCTACACGCAGCGAAAGATGGACGCCGTCGCGACGTGTTCCATCGGCGTCTGCGGCGCGCTCTACGTCGCCGTGGGCATGGCCGGCTACGCGACCTTCGGCGCGGACGTGTCGAGCGATCTGCTGGAATCTTACCCGGGCTCCGAGGAGGCCGTCGTCGTGTCGCGGCTCGGGTTCTCCGCGCTTGTGAGCTTCTCGTATCCCCTCATGTGCAAGCCCGCGCGCGACTCGTTCCTGTCGTTGGTCGAGCACGGCTCCTTCGGCGTGGAGGCCGGCGCGAGGCTGAGCGACGCGGCGACGGGGCCGCCGCTGCGGCGGAGGTACGTCGCGGGCTTCACGCTGTCGTTCCTCGCGGGCACGTGGCTCGTCGCCGCCGTCGTCCGCGACCTGGGGGTCATCCTGGGCCTCATCGGCGCGACGTGCTCGACCTTCGTCGCCTTCATCATCCCGCCGCTCGTCTTCGTCAAGACGCACCCGGAGCCGAGCGCGAAGAAGAGCGCCGCGACGGCCGTGCTCGTCTCCGGCGTGCTGCTCATGCCGACGATGGTCGCGGCGACGTTCGTCGGCGCCTAGGTCCGCCCACACTGGTTAGACGATGGACGAGTAGCGGGATGCGAAGGGGCTCGGCGCGGGCGCCCCCCGCCGCCGGTCGCCGCCGCGCCTGAGCAGCGCGAAGCCCGCGACGGAGGGCAGGAGCTCGAGGCCCACGTCGAGCGCGAGGTCCGTCGCGCAGATGCCGTGGCACGTCGTGTGCCCCCGGGGTCCCGTGAGCCAGGCCTCGGCGCCCCGGCTCGTCCAGGAGAAGTAGTGCACCGCCTGGCAGACGAAGACGAGGCCCAGGAGGCCGATCATGGCCCGCGCGAGCTGGAGGAGCTCGCCGGGAACGAGGAACGCGCCGTCGCCCGTGAGCGTCTTCCGCAGGTCGCGCGCGAAGTAGGCCAGGAGGCCCAGGAGGCCCAGGTAGGCGCAGCCGATGGCGTCGAAGGCCAGGTCGCCGTAGACGTCCGCGTGCTCGCGCGACGCGAGGCATTTCGCCGCGAGCGCGACGAGCGCGGCGTAGAACGCGCCGTTGAGGATGCCGAAGAGCGGCACGAGGCGCGGGAAGGTCCGGCCCGACGCCGTCGACGACACGTGGCCCACGAAGAGCACGAAGAGGCCGTAGGTGCTGCAGAACGGCGCGTCCGCGAGGCCCCGGAGGAGCCGGCAGTCCCAGTACGTCACGCGGCACCCGACGCCGCTGCAACCGAAGAGCTGCGCGCCGCTGCTGCAGCCGCGCGCCAGGAGGGCCACGCACCAGCAGTTGACGAAGTAGCCCCGCGTCACGAGGCCCACGCTGCTCGGCCGCTCGTCGAGCTCGCTCTTCTGCGTGTAGCGCCAGCTGAAGAGGCCCACCGCCGCCGCGAAGAACAGGATCGTGCTGAGAAAACGCGTCGCGAGGCAGAAGAGGCTCGACATCATCCCGCGCGCCGCGCGCGCGCTCGCCGCCGCGCCGCCGCCGAGCCGGAGCCGCTGCTGCTCTCGACCTTGACGCCGGTGCGGCTTGAGCCCTCAGTGCGCGATGGCTTGTGGCAATTTCATATGAGACGCCCGTGACACACTGAAGGCCAGATTCCGCTCGCGGTTCTCGAGATCGTCGTACTTCTCCTTGAGCTTGTCGATCTCGTGCATCGCGTGGGCGACCTTCTTCGCCGCCTCGGTAGCGCTCTGATCGATGCTGCGCGCACTCGCGACCTGGACGATGATCTCTGCCGTGCGCGGCCTCGCGACCATGTCGTCGACGACGCTGGAACGGCTCGTCGCGCCGCGCACCTGCTGCGGCGCTACCGTCGCTCGCATCCTGCTTTTAGGCGACGGCGACCTGTCCTGCGGCGCGGCCGTCGCCGACGCAGCGACCGTCGAGGTCGTGCCGACGACCTTCGAGTCGCCCGCGTCGCTGGAGGAGCTCTACGGCGGCGACGCGCGCCGCCGCGCGGACGGGCTCGGCGCGGTCTACGGCGTCGACGCGACGGCGCCGCAAGCGCTCGGTCGCTTCGACCGCGTCATCTTCAACTTCCCGCACGCGCCGGGCAAGCAGAACATCCGCAAGAACCGCGAGCTGCTCCGCGCGGCGTGCGCGAACGTCGAGCGGTCGCTTCTGGCGCCGCGCGGCGAGCTCGTCGTCGCGCTCGACGGCGGCCAGGCCGGCACCGCGCCGGACCTCCGCGGCGCGCGCGACGACGCCGCGCGGATCCAGGCCTTCAAGGCGTCGTGGCAGCTCGACGTCGCCGCCGCGGACGCCGGATTGCTCGTCGCGGAATCGTCGCGGTTCGCGCCGTTCTACGAGACGCGGAGCCACCGGCTGCGCCGCTTCTCGCCCCGCGACGCGCGGCTCCACTGCCTCGCGCGCGATGGCGAGCTCGCCGGGGTCGAGGACGCGCCGGCGTGCTACACGTTCGAGGTCCAGCTCTTCGGCGTCGACGGAGACGTCGCCCGGGTATCCGCGGTCGCCGAGGCGACGTCGACGCTCGTGGCGGACGTGCGGCACGTCGACGCCTACGTTCATCGCGACGCGCGGACGTCCCACGCCTTCCAGATCGCATTGGGGTCGCGGAGCGTCGCGCTCACGCGAGACACCGCCGACGCGGCGCGCGTCGCCATCGAGGCCGAGTTCGACCGGAGGTTCGAGGTCCGGCGGTCCAAGGCGGGGCACCGCGTCAGCGCGCCGCGGCCTTGGGTAAGTTAGCTGTGCTGGTGGTCGTGCGGGCGAAGGGCTCGGGCTGCGACGACGGCATGCGTAAAAAATCGCGATGTTGCAGCCTGTCGGCTCAGGCCCGAGAGGCGGCGGCGCGCGGACGATGTTGCACTCCCAAGTTGCAGTCGCCTTGCATCGACTCGGAGCTCGAGGAACTGTGGCTGCACGCGTTCTCACTCGCTTTTGAACGCGTGAGATGGGATGCTTGTTCTCGACGTACGACGAGCCTAACAAACCCACACCGCCTCCCCCGCCGACGGAGTCGACGTCGCCGATCGTCGAGGAGAAGGTTGAGAAGCCGACGGCCGTCCTCGAGGAGTCGCGCAAGTCGAACGACGGCGACGGGCTGGCGAGTATGCGCATGCCGACGACCATCAACTCGGGCGCGGGACTGCCGCCGGGAGCCCAGGTGGGCTTCGGCTTCCGGCCCATCGACGACGCGCCGGCCGCTCCCGCGAAACCGCCGGTCGCCGCGCCCGCGAAGAAGTCGGCCAAGGCGCCCAAGAAGGCGGCCGAGAGCCCGAAGGCGCCCGCGCGGCCGTCGGCGCCCGCCGCGGCGCCGGCGGAGAAGAAGCGCTGGGGCGACTCGGACGACGACGACGAGCCGCCCGCGCCGCCGCCGCTCCGGCCGAAGAAGTCGGCCAAGGCGCCCAAGGCGGCGCCCGCGAGCCCGCCGAAGCGCAAGGGCCCGAGCGACGACGACCTCCTCGCGGCGTGCCGGTCCATCAAGGACGCGCACCCGGACTACGGCGTCAAGCGCGTCTTCAAGGAGCTCAACGCGAGGAACCCGGCGTGGAAGGTCAACGAGCGCAAGGTCCAGAAGGTCATGCGCAACAACGGCATGCTCGTGATCTGAGGCCCCCGCGGGGTTTTCACTACTGGCTAAGAACTCTAAGACCGACGCTGGGGCCGGAAGCAGGCGAGGCCGTCGCCCGGCGCGAGGTGCGCGGCGTCGAGCGCGGCGTCGACGGCCGCCGCGGCGAAGTCGCGGCGGCGGCCGAGGACGGCCGCGAGGTCCGCGCGCGACACGCCCGACGCGCGGAGCGGCACGGTCCGCGCGTCCGCGGGCGCCTCGAGCGTCGCGAGCGCCAGCGCGACGTTCAGCGGCGCGAACTGCGGCCGCAGCGTCGACCGGAACGTCTCGCCCGCGCGGGCCTCGTCGAGCGACTCCTCGGGCGGCAGGAGCTCGCCCAGGCGCGCCATGAGCGCGCGCGCGTCGCGCCGCAGGGCCAGCGCGCCGAAGGCGCCGAGCTTCGGCGCGGACCCGTCCGTCAGGAAGCCGAGCGCCGCGTCCGCCGCGTCCGCCGCGAGGCGCCGCGCGACGGCGAGCCGCGGCCCGCCCGTCGGCAGCGCCGCGAGGGCGCCCGCGACGCAGCGGTGGCCCAAGATCCGCGCCTCGTAGTCCCGGAGCAGCGGCGCCGCCGCCGTCGGGTCCGCGGCGGCGGCGTCGCGGTCGCTCAGGCGCCCGTAGGTCGAATCGCGGAGCGACGCGCCGTAGTCGGCGCGCGCGGCGGCGAGCGACGGCTCGTCGAAGAGCGCGTCCAACGCCCCCGCGGCCAGGGCGTCGTAGGTCCGCGCGGCGCCGTCGAAGTCCTCCAGTAAAGGCAGCGCCGCGGGTAAAGACGCCGCGAGCTCCGCGACGACGTCGTCCCGCAGCGACCGGCAGTGGGACGCGCAGGCGAAGGCGCCACCGCAGGCCGCCGTCAGCGCCGCGGGCGACGCGCCGTGGACCTCCTCGTCGACGGCCTCGGCGAGCGCGTCCGCGAGCGTTTTTACGGTTTCGTCGCGGCGTTTCCGCGACGCGATGGACGCCGCGGCGCCGTAGACCGAAATATCCTCCGGCGCGTCCGTCGAGATCGTCGTCAGCGTCCGATGGAGCTGGCTCAGCGCGGCCTGCTCGCTCAGCGTCGAGATCGCCCGGTCGACGCCGCGCCGTAGGACGAAGAACGCGTCCTGCAGGGCCACGAGCGCCGCGTCGTCGTCCGGGTTCGGTTCGGCGCCGTCGAGGGGGTGGTCCCCGGCGTAGTCGAGCTCGTCGCCCTCGGGGTCCGGGTCCAGCGTCGCGCGGACGTCGCGGCACGCGACGCGGACGCACGCGTCGCAGTAGGCGTCCTCGATCTGCACGTAGTGGCCCACGAGCAGCTGGAGGCTCGGCGACAGGTGTTTTAAAGTCGCCGCGGCACCATCGACGCCGAGCCGCGCCTCGACGAAGCGCTCGAAGCGGTGGCCGAACTGCAAAGCGAAGCTCACCTCGTCGAGGAGCTCGTCGAGCGCGACGAACGACTCCTCGTGGACCTCGCGCGCCACGGTCTCGACGGACCGCATCATGACGAAGCGCTCGAGCGTGTCGACGCCCGCGGCCGCGCCGACGTCGAGCGCCGCGGCCGCGAGCGCGCGCGCCGCGTCGTCGCCGAGGCTCGCGGCCGCGGCCTCCGCGACGCCCGCGACGGCGCAGCACGCGCCCAGCGCGTTGCCCAGGGCCGTCGCGTGCGCGTGCACGGACGGCTCGTCGTCGCCGTCGCTCGTCCGGCGCGGCGGCAGGCCCCCGCGGACCTCGAGCGTCGCCGTACTAGACCGCCGCTTCGCCGCCGTCTCCATCGCGTGCCCGAGCGCCGCTCGAGCGGGCGCCTCGAGGCCGACGAGCGCCATGCGCTCGCAGCACTTGGCCACGGCCTCGGACGCCTCGTCGCTCCGCGCCTCGCCGCCGTCGCCGACGACCTCGCCCGCGCCGCGCGCCGCGACGGTCGCCGCGACTTCCAAACTCGCGCGCAGCCGCTCGCGCGCGCCGGCGACGGCGGCCTCGACGAGCGCGCCCACGGTCTGCACCTCGACGGCGTCGGCGGACGTGGCCGCGACCCGCGCCGACGCGTTCAGCAGCGGGAACAGCGACGCGACGATGGCGTCGTCGTCGCCCTCGGCGCGCGCCTCGTGGCACGCGGCGACGAGCTCGCCGAGCGCTTCCATGTCGCAGTGGGCGGACATGGTCGAGCAGCAGGTGAGAGCGCTCGCGCAGCCAGTCAGGGCGCGGGAACGTCGCGGTCAGGGTCACACATCGTCCACCAGTGATCAATGTGCAACATCCGGTTCAACGACGGCGTCCGGCGCCCCGAAACGCGCCCGACCCCAAAAAAGACGGAACGATGGCGGTGGGAACGGTTACGTGGAAGGCCGCGCGTCCGTTCGCAGCGCCGATCCGCGCCCGCGCGAGCCGCGCCGCGGCGATCGAGGGTGCGAGGTCAGAGCGCGGCGGCCGGGGCCGCCGCGGTCCCGTCGGTGCGGCGCGGCCGACCTATCTCGCGTGCTTGTCGACCATCTCCTTGGCCTTCTTGTCGAAGGTGGCGCGGTCGGACGCGAACTCCTGCGCGATCTCGGGCTCGAGCGGGTGGTCGACGTTCGGCGACTTGAGCAGCTCGTGGAGCGTCGTGTAGACGTAGCGCACGTTGAGCGTCGGCGACCAGTTGGAGACGAGGACGTCGTTGCAGATCTCGCCCGTGTCCGTCTTGATGTTCGGGTGGTAGACCTTGGTCTCGAACTTGATCTTCGGCGGCTTGAACGGGTACTCGGTCGGGAACTTGAGGTCGAGCTGGAACGCGCCGCCCTCGTAGGCCGTGCCGTCGGGGCCCGTCAGCACCTGGTGCGGGCGCGGGTCGACGGCGCGCGCGCGCCGCGAAGCGTCTCGAGAAGGCGCGAGGGTACGACGCGGGCGACGCGCGGTGCCCCAGTCGAGCAGGTCGTCGCCCTTGGGCCCGCCGCAGCAAAAGTCCACGGGGTTCGCCTCGAGGTCGTTCAGCTCCTTCCTGCGGCGCGTGGGGAGCGGCGGTCGACGGGGCATTCGAAAGGCGAGTCAGTGGCAAATTGTTGAAGGGCTGCTGGAGCCGCCTCGTTTGCGGCTTTGGCGCAGCCAGCGGTCGCGGCATCTCTTCAGACGCGGAGAACGCACTGTATGCGTCGCAGAGCGGCCATGGTGTGCAGCGGACAGCGCGGAGAAGCGTGCTGAAACCTCGATCGAGCGAGTCGAGCGCCGCTCCGAGAATCGTCATGGCATCGTTGGCTCCTTGCCTCGTAGGTTGAAGGCCAGAGGACGTCCCCGACGCGTGCGCACGACAAGATCATCCGCGATCATCCATGCGAGGTCGACCCACAGCACAAAAAAACGCGAGGGGCGCGCCCATCATAAGAACCCGCGCGACCCGCGCGTCACGCGCAGTGGCGGTCGGACTTGTACTTGGAGCGCATCTCGAGGAGCTCGCTGCGCGTCTTCTCCTCCGTGAGGCGCTCCGTGACGATGTGGTAGCCGTTGGAGCCGCCGACGTTGCCCTCCTTCTTCCGCCGGTAGACGAGGGTCGTGCCGCCGCTGCCCGCGTAGTCTCCCACGGCGTGGTCCTCGCGGCTCACCTTCATCTTCTTCTCCGCCGCGCGCTTGACGTCGTCGGACTCCTCGACCTTGGGCGCCGAGATGTAGCGGAACGTGCACGTCGTCACGAGGTCCGTGGAGAACGGCGAACTGATGGAGATGGACACGTTGCTCAGGACCATCTTCACGATGCGCGTCTCGTCCGTGAGCGTCTTCGGGTGCGTGATGACCAGGGCGTCGCCGACGGCGAGCTCGTCCATGAAGAGCGACTCGTAGCCCATGACCGCCGTGCCGCCTGAGGGGAGGGACGGTCGTCGCGCGCGCGCGCGCGACGCGTCGGGGCGCGGGCGTCGCGCTCGACGAGATGCGGCCCGTGCCCGCCGAGACCTTGAAGTCGTCGTCGTCGTCGTCGTCGTCGTCGTCGTCCGCGCCCGGCGCCGCCGCCGCCGCCTCGACGGGCTTCGGCCGGTCCTCGGCGCTGCGCTGCTTGCGCTTCTTCTTCATGCCGCCCTTCATCTTCAAAGCGCCGCCGCCGCGCTTCACCTTGGCGTAGTCGCTCATGGCGCGCGCGACGTAGAGTAGAGCGCGGGCGGCGAAGCAGGCGTCGAGGGCGCGGCGCGCGCGGCCGAGCAGGCGTCGGACGGGGCGCGCGCGAGAAGCGGCTCGAGCTCGATTCACCTTCCCAGCTCCTTTCCTTCAAGCTCGCTCTCATCCGTCGCGATACCGCACCCCACCTCGAAACGACACAACATTACTTCCGCAGGGCGCCGGCGGCCGAGAGCACGGCCATGGCGCCCTTCTTCTTGACGTCGAGCTTCGTGTTCGCCTGGCCCGGCCCGCCGCTCGCGAGCGACGACACGCCGGACCGGCTCGACAGGTTCGAGTTCACGGAGGACGCGTCGTCCGCGAGGGGGTTCTTCACGTCGTCGCTCCGGTCGCCCGCCTGCTTGCCCTCGGGCCGCCGGTGGAAGACGGCCGCCGCGCGGTGGCCGCCCACGTGGAGGTGGTCCTCGCCCGACGGCAGCCCCGTGTCCGGGTCGACGTCGGTGACGCCCGGGATGACGATCTTGCCCCTGTCGATGGCGTCGCGCCGCCGCGACTCGGAGAAGCAGGACTTGCGGCCCTCCCAGCCCGAGACGAGGTAGTCGTACCTCGGGTCGAGCCACTGCGACTCGCCCGTCGGCGCGTGGTAGTAAAAGTCCGCGCCCGACTGCGGGTCCCGCAGCGTCGTCCAGCCGTGGCGCAGCACGTCCGCGGGCTGCTTGTGGTAGAAGCTGTCGGGCCCCTTGAGCACGTGCGGGTCCTCGGCGACGGGGTTCGGCCACTCGCGCACGGGCCGCCGCCGCGGCGTCGCCGTCGTCGTCGCCGTGCAGTCCAGATCCGCGCCGCCCGGCTCGAGGCAGCTCCGCAGGGGCTCCTCGAAGAGGGCCCAGGTCGACGCGGGCAGCGCGCCCGGCGCCAGGGGCCGCGCGTCGAAGGCCAGCGTCGCGACGAACTTGCCGAAGCGGAACCCAAAGTGCTGGCGCAGCGCGGCCGTGTGGTGCGCGACGACCGTCTCGTCCGGCGGCTCGTCGTCGAGGTCGCGGCAGTCGTCGCACTTGAGCTCGAGCCAGTACTCCGACGCGTCCGTCATCGGCATGCGGACCCAGCCGAAGACGCGGCGCGCCGCGAGCCGCCACGCGTCTTCCAGGCATCGCGCGCCGTCCAAAGCCCGCTCCATGGCCGGCGGGATCAACAGGTGCGTGAAGAGGTCCTCCTCCGACGGGTCCATGCAGGGCAGCGCGTGGCGCGCCCAGAACTGGTTGTTGAAGAACTTGCGCTTGAAGTGGCGGTGGAAGACGAAGAGCGGGTAGAGCAGCGGCGGCATCGCGACGCACGCGCGCACCATCTCGACGAAGCGCACGTGCGTGCGCTTCCCGAAGGCCTCGTGGAAGAGCACGAGCAGGGGGCGGTTGATGCCGCCGTGGATCAGCGCGACGAGCTCCTCGAAGGGCCGGAGCGTGATGTAGACCTGCTCGTTGCACATGTGGTAGTCGAGCAGCAGGCGGAAGAACTTGAGCACGACGCCCGCGGGCGAGCAGCGCGCGAAGGCGTAGCCCGCGATGACGAAGCGCACGAAGTCGATCTCGAAGTTCACCTTGGCCTTGGCCAACCCGTGCGTCTCCTTCACGAACAGCGTCGGCAGCAGCACGAGCGACGCGGCCTCGGACATGCCGTGGTCGAACAGATCCTGGAAGTAGAGGAGCGACACGCGGTTCGGCAGCTTCCGCGACTCGTCGGGGTGCGTCTTCATCGCGAGGTGCGACCGGTAGGTCTCGTACAAACCGTAGAGCTCCGGCTGCGTCACGTTGTGCGTCCGCGCCCAGAGCGAGAGCTGCATGAAGGACGCGCGGTCCATGAGCGACGCCGGGAACTCGGGCCCCGTCTCGTCGACGCGGTAGCCCTCCGTGGACCGCTTCGGCTTGTTCATCTCCTTCCAGCGCTTGTAGAGCGTCACGCAGCCCCGGAGCGCGCGGACCTTGGTGACCCTGGCGTAGAAGCGCTCCTTGCGCTGCGCGTGGCGGTGCTTGAAGCCCGCCCAGCCCTTGGTCGGGGGCGGCACGTACTGCCGCTCCTCCTGGTACGCGCGCCACGCGGCGAGGACGTCGTTGGCCTGGACGGTGAGGTTCGCGGCCAAAATGTCCGCGGGCGTCTCGACCTTGACCTTCGTCCGCGACTTTCGCTTTTTTCGCTTGTGCCTAGTGCGACGGGGTCGGATTTCTTCACATCTTCAGGCGAAATTCACGCGAAAAAGCACTCCTGTCGCTCGACGCTGGCTTGTGCTCGAAGCGCTCCGTGCCGGGTCGCACGTACTTCTTGCCGCTCTCGTCGAGGGGCGGCTCCGCCTTGTCCCCGAGCTTCGCCTTCTTCGGCTCCGCCTTCTTCGGGGCCGCCTTGTCCGCCGCGGGCGCGAGGGGCTCCTCCTCCTCCTTGGGCCGCCCGCGGTGGTGGTGGGCCCGCGTGTGGACGTTCGCCGTCGCGACGGTGAGCGCCTGGTCCGCGTCGCCCGCCGTCGGGCCGGCGTGGCTCACGGCGACCTGCGTCGCCGGCCGCACGGGCGCCGGCGCATCCTCGACGCTCGGTTTCTTGCCGAGGAGCCCGCCGAGGAGGCCCATCGGTGTCCGCGCGGAGGTTGCCTCGAGGCGCCGAGCCGGCGTTGCCGTCTAGACGCGTCCACGAGGATCAGTGGCTCGCCGGGGGTCTCGAGGCAACGCGCGGAGGCGCCTAGGACCGCGCACCCATCGAGCGGTTAGCGCTCGAGGGCGCCCATCGTCCGGCAGCACACAAACTGCGCTACGGGAAATAGACGATTTCAGATTCTTCTGTCCGAGGCTTCAAACAAAAATTATGTATCGAAATTAATGTATCTCCCGCAGTGGCGCCGAGTTACGCGAACTCGCGCTCTTGGCAATCGAATGCCAAGCACTTACTAATCGACGGACCAAGTTGCAGTGAAATGTATCGCTCGGCTGAAACGTCGTCTTTTGATGGAGACGATGTGGTTGGTCGGCGGAGCGGGGCTGCGTCTGGGGTCTGGGGCGCCCGAAGGTACTATGCCCGCGCGGCTGCCGGCCGGAATCGGGGCGACGAGAGAGGGGTTCGCTTGGCATAGTACCTTCGAGCACCCAGAACCTCGCCGCGGGGACCGCCTCGCGCGCGCGGAGAGAGAGGGGAAAATGATCTCGGCTTCTGCGTGCTCCCGAGACGAGCGGGCTGAAGATTTGGGATGCTCGACCCCGAATTGCCATTGCGAAGTGTGCTCAGTTTCTCTCCCCCTGGCCTGGAACATGCCAAACCCAGCATCAGAGATCGTGCGACCATCATCGACGACGTCCAACCCTTTTTCGAAAGTAAACTTCTAGGTTCAATAAGTTAATGTTGCGTTCCGGCCGACGGTAAGTGCCAAGAGCGTGAGTTCCTGGAACTCAAACCGAAGTCGGCGAGTTGGGCCCCCGCGCCCACCCTGGCGGGCTGCGCGCGGCCGTGGCCATGTACGGTGACATATTCCGGCGTTTCTTCGGCTTGGAAGCGCGACGGGCCGCCCGGGGGACGGGCTGCTCGGCGCCGAGTCGTTCGTGATGGCGCGCCCGGGCCGCGCAGAGCCCCCGCGCCGGTGCTCTGGGGCCGCGCGGCTCGTGCTCGGGGTCCCATTGGCTGCCGGGATCCAGGGGCAGCCTCGCGCGACGGTTGAACCCGATCCGGGTGCTGCGCGGCGCGGGGTGCGCGCACGTGTCGCGGAGACCTTGGAAGTCAAAGTCTTCGACCTCTATGGTCGAGCGCATCAAAGGGGACTCCCACACTACATAGACGAACGATCCCCGACGCTCCGTGAACTCGAACACGACGGAAAAGGGTGCGGGGGACGCGAGCAACCCTTTCCCGACCCCTTGCGGCGCCTCGTGCGCGACGCGACGCAATCCTGGGGAGTGACATCCCCGCGGGGAATGTGTCGTCGACAGGCTTCCGATCCTCGCTGCAGCGGGGGTTGTCTCTTGACTCGGTTCCTGCGTCGAGCTACGGGCTGGTGAAGACGACTTTTTCGTCCATAGCCGAGCGCGGACTTCGTGTCGCAGCATCAATACCGACGTAAACTTAGTGATACAATTTGTTGGAAAGCCAATCTGAAATCGTCTAATGTTGGTGCAGCGTGCGGGGCAGCCCACTTAGCACACGTCGCGCAGTATGGAGGCGTCGGCGCCGGAGGAGGAGCGCCTCCTCGGCGTGCACGTGGAGCCCGGCAAGGCGGCGCCGCCGCTGGTGCAGGCGCCGCGGAAGATCAAGTCGGGCAAGGGCCTCGCCGAGGAGCGGCACCGCACGCGCGGGGCGCACCGCGTCGCCCGCGCGCTGCTGCGGACGCTGGCCGTGCTCATGGGCGGCTTCCTCGCGTCGGCGCTGCTCGCGAGCCTGCGCCTGGCCGAGGTGCCCAAGTTCAAGAACCGGCCCATCTGGATGTACTTCTGCCCGCTCTGGGCCGCGCACGGCCTCAGCGCCGCGCTGCACCTGCGCGCGCTCCAGCTCCTGCGCAAGTACGTCGCGCGCGCGCGGCGCGAGCGCGTGCCCTTCGCGCTCACGGTGCTGGGCCGGAGCCTCCAGTGGCTCTTCGTCGGCGCCGCCCTCGTGGCCACGGAGCTGCTCCTCTACTTCCGCTTCGTCGCGGACGTCAACGTCCGCGTCGCCGCGGTCTGCGGCCCCGCGTGGGCGCTCTGCGCGCTCGTCGCCGTGCGCTTCGGCCTCTGCCGGGGCACGCCGCCGGCGACGGTCGTCGCCGCCGTGCTCGTCGCGCTCCAGGGCGCGGCGCTGTCCTGGAAGCTCGACGGCAAGACGGCGTTCGACGAGGCCGCGGGGTCGTGGTTCGCGGTGCTCACGCCGACGCTGCTCTGGTGCCTGCTGGAGCTCTTCCAGCTGCTGCGGTGCCTGCTCCTCCACCGGCGCGCGACCCTCGAGGCGCGGGCGCAGGCGCGGAAGGGCGCGGCGACGTGGCGCGTCGAGCCGCCGCGGCCGCGGCGCCTCCTCGACCGCCGCGCCAAGGGCGCGGCCCAGTTCTACGTGCTCGCCTTCGCCTTCGCGGCCATCGCCGTCGTCAGCGGCGCCGTCTGCCTCGACGAGCGCCAGCGGCGGCGCGAGATTTTGGTCGCGCGGCTCGCGGAGGGCGCCATCGACCGGGGCAAGTTCGTGTCGCTGAAGCGGCGCGCGACGCGCGTCGAGCTCGACGGCCGCCGCGTCTGCGCCGCCGCGGCGCTGGCGAGCGCGCTCTGCCTCGCCCGCGGCGTCTGCGTCGTCGCGCTCGGCCTCGTGCGCTACTATTCCCGCTACGTCGGCCAGACGGAGCCGCTCCCCCTCGTCCGCCGGGACGAGGGCTGGGACGCGGTGCCGGACCACGACACGTTCGCCGTGCCCTGGTACCTCGGCGTGCCCGTCGTCGACGCCGCCATCGGCGACGCGTAACGCCGGTCGCGTCCTTACGGACTAGCGCGACACGGGGATGCCCGCGGGCCCCTGGCGCTGGCGACGCCGCCATCGGCGACGCGTAAAGCCGGTCGCTTCCTTAGGACTAGCGCGACACGGGGATGCCCGCGGGCCCCTGGCGCTGGAGCGGGCGGAGCGCGCCCGCGCGGCCCGTCGAGTAGGCCGCCTGGACGATGACGGGGTGGTGCCCCCGCGCGTCCGGCGGCAGCGTCGCGGACACGGGGCTCAGGCCCGCGTGGACGACCTTGGCGGCCTGCTTGTCGTGCATGCCCGAGGTGTTGTTGCACGCGATGCACCGGTAGGGCACGCGGCCGACCATCATGGCGTCGTCGGGCGACTTGAGCTTCTCCGAGACCTCGCGGATGCCCTTGGCGAGCATGCGGAGCACGTCCTCGCGCGCGACCTTGCGCGGCAGCTCGCGCTTCATCGACGCGATCTCGCCCGAAAGAGCCGCGTTCGCGCCGCCGAGCTTGGACACGATGCGGTCCTGGAGGCTGCTGAGCATGGCGCGCACCGTCGTCTCGTTGGGCGTGCCCTCCAGCGCCTTGAGCGCGTCCTCGAGGGCGTCCTCCATCTTCTTGAGCGTCTCGTGCTGCGCGTCGATCTTGCCGTTGATGTCGTCGTCGACGACCTTCTGCGCCGCGACGTGGAGCGCGAGCTTGTCGTTTAGCAACTGCTGCTTCATGGCCGCGACGTCGCGCTCGGCGACGTCGACCTTGCCCACGACGAGGTCCATGTTGGAGTTGACGTCCGCGAACAACTTCAACGTCCGCTTCCGCTCCGACGCGAGCGCCTCCTCGTAGCGCGCGGTGACGATCGTGTCGAGGCCGACGATGCGCGCGTCGAGCTCCTTGCGGTCCGCCTTGTGCTCCTCGAGCGGGCTCACGAGGGACCGCATGTAGGCGAAGATGGGCCGGAGCGGGTTGTCGGCGTCGCCGTGCCGCTCGCAGAGCGCGGCGAACTCGTCCTTGCCGAGCTTCGCCGCGAGCTTGGCGAGCGCGTCCTTGAGCTCCTCCGAGTGGGCCGACACGGTCTTCTTCAGGTCGTCGACGTGCTTGATGGCCGTCGACGCGAGGCACTCGTCGCTGACCTCGTAGACGCGGCCGATCGTCTCCGACTCCTTCGCGACCAACAGACCGATGCGCTCGAGCTCGGCCATGATGGTTTCGGTGACCGTCGACGCGAGCTCGCCCGCGTCGGGCCCGCCGCCCGCCGGCGCGACCTCGACGGGCCGCGACTCGCCCGGGTCGCGCCGCTCGACCTTGTCGAGCCGGTTTTCGACGGCGTCGACGCGCGTCACGAGGTCGTCGACGAGGCCCTGGTCCGCGCCCTCGCGGTGCTTGGGCTTGGCGTCCAACGCGCGCGCGATCTCCTCGATGGCGTCGAGGCGCACGTGCAGCGCCAGCACGGCCTCGCGCTCCTCCTCGAGCTTGCGGTCGTGGACCTCGACGGTCGCCGTCGCCTGCTTCAGCTGGGGCTGGACGAGCTCGTCGAGCGTGTCCGACAACAAGGCGACGCGCTTCTGGAGCACCTCCGCCAGCGGCAGCTCGATGGCCAGCCCGCTCACGGACGACCCGCCCATGCGGAGGCCCGCGTCTAAAACCGCGCGGCCCTTCTCGAAGCCCGCGTCCGAGTTGAAGGTCACGCGGCCGATCTGGAACGTGCCCGCGGGCGCCGGCGCCAGCTTCGCCTCGGCGACGTCGTCGAACTCGAGGCCCAGCGTGTAGGAGCTCACCTCGGCGTCCGCGGACGCGGACGAGACGACGATCGTCCGGTGCCGCGTGGCCTCGTCGAGGGGCACGAGGTCGTGGAGCGCCCTGTAGAGGGTCCGGACCTCGTCGACGGAGCCGACGACGCCGGCCTCGATCTTCGACCCGTCGACCTCGAGGCCCGTGAGCGCCGACGCGGCCTTCAACGCCTCGATCTTCGACGGGAACCGGACGAGGCGGAGGCCGTAGCCGTCGAGGTCGCAGGGCTCGGGCTCGGGGATGAACTCGTCGACGATGGCGAGCACCTCGTTGTGCGCGTGCTCGCCCTTGACGTGGCGCACGAGGATCTGCCGCTCGAAGCGGCTCTCGGGCCTCGCGCCGAGCACCGTCGCCGTCGCCGCCTTCACCTCCTGGCCGCCGCCGAGGTCGACCTCCGCGCCGTCGAGCGTCTCCGCGACCTTCTCCGCCGTGGACACGTCGTCGAAGTGCATGACCTGGTGCGCCGAGGACCACTTGTCGCAGGACATGGGCGGGTCGACGGACGCGTGCGTCGCGTCGTCGAACGTTTTGTCGTCGAGCAGCGACTGCGTGTCGTTCGTGTCGACGTCGAGGGGCAGGTTCCCGACGAAGACGCTGTACTTGGGCGGCGGCTCCGGCGCCGCCGCCGGCGCCGGCGCGGCGCCGAGGGCCGCGGCGTCCGCGAGCGCGACCTTGAGCTCCGCGACCTCGTTCTCGAGCGCCGAGAGCCGCTGCGGGTACTCGTCCCGCATGTCGTTGACCTCCTCCCGCAGCGTCGAGATGACGACCTGCTGCTTCTGCACGACGTCGAAGACGAGCTTGAACACGCTCTGCATGTTCTGCGTGGGGCCCGTGAAGGCCAGCCCGACGGACTTGGCCAGGCCGTCGCCCAGGCCGCCGCCGCCATCGACATCGACGGGCGGCTCCGGCGCCGGCTGCGCCGGCTCCTCCTCCGGAGCCTCCTCCGCAGGCGCCGGCTCCGGCGCCGGGTCCGGCGCCGCCGGTTCCTCCGGCGCGTCGGGCTCCTCCATCAGGCAGCCCTAGCGCCCCGAGGCTCACCTTGGGGATACGGTGTACATGCAACACCACCTTGCGGCAACGCCCCCTTCAATAATTGGTTAACATCGCCTTGTGGCAAAGCATGAGGGCGAAGCAGGCTGCGTCGAGCGTCGCGGCGCTGCCGGACGAACGCGCCGAACAGCGCTCGATGCACGCGCCCGCGAGCAAACCGCCCACTCTCAAAGAGGCCCTCGTCGTCGCCGCAGCGCTCGCCGCCGGCGCCTGGGCGTCCCGCGACGCCACCCCGGACACGGCCGACCCCTGCGGCCTCGAGCGCCTGCCCGCGAGCGCCGCCCTGCGCTGGCGCCGGCCGCCGCCGCGGCCCGTCGTGCTCGCGCCCTTCGCGGCCAACGACGGCTTCCGGCGGCGGACCGCGCGCGCGCCGCTCCTCGAGCGCCTCGGCGAGTCGCGCGTCGTCCTCACGAGCAGCAACAGCTACAGCGAGCACGAGCTGGCGACGACCCTGCGGGCCTACGTCGAGGACCACGTGCCGCGCCACGCGTCGGACGCGGCCGCGAACGAGTCCTACTACCTCTTCGGCCCCCAGTTCGACGCCGCGCTCGAGGCCCTCGTCGAGTCGTACGCGCACCCGGCCTGCGGCGGCGCGTGGTGCGCGCGCGACGCCTTTGCCGCGTCCTTCGGCCTCGCCGGCGCGCGCAGCGGCGTGAGCTTCCACACGCACGGCAGCGGCTTCGGCGAGGTGCTCCACGGCCGGAAGCGGTGGATCCTCTACCCGCCGGGCGACGCGGCGCCGCCGGGCTTCGACCCCGACGGGCCGACGCGGCGCTGGGTCGACGACGTGCTGCCGACGCTGCGCGGCGCCGACTTGCCGGCCCACGACTGCGTCCTCGGGCCGGGGGAGCTGCTCTACTTCCCGCCGCTCTGGTGGCACGCGACGCTCAACCTCGACGACCACACGGTCTTCGTGAGCTCCTTCGCGTCGGACCACGCGCGCGAGGCGGACAGCGGCGGCGACCTAAGACCGGGCTGGTAGGCTCCTTTTTGTGGGGTTTCGCAAGCAGCTTCAACGTTAGCCGAAACGGGACGCTGGAACGGATTCCCGGGGCAGCGTACATAGTCGGGCACTGGAACACCGCGCGCGCGCCGTCGGACGCGACGCGGATGGCGTCGGCGTGCGACGCGCCGGCCCTCGAGGGCTCCGACGACGGCCGGAGCGACGAGCTCGTCGACGACTTGCTCGACGACTTGCTCGAGGACGAGGCCGCCGCGGAGGAGGCGGCGCGCGGCGCCGACGACGCCGGCGGCGACGCGGCCTGCGCGCGCGGCGCGGCGGCGTCGCCGGACCCGGGCTTCTTCGACTCGCCCTTCGGCGGCGCGGCGGCGCCCGACGGCGGCGCGTGCGGCGACGGCGGCGGCATCCCCATCCTCAGCCCGCAAGACCTCGCGGCGCACGACGACTCGGGCGAGGAGGACTCGCGGCCGCGGTCGCCCGACGACGACGACGGCGACGACCTCCTCGACGACCTCCTCGCCGAGGCCGCGCTCGAGGAGGAGGCCCAGGGCGCGGGCGGCGCCGCCGACGGCGCGGCGCGGGTCCTCTACGACGTCGTCGCCGAGGACATCGTCCGGAGCGCCCTCGACGACGCGACGGAGGATCTGGAAACCGAGCGCGAGGCTCTGGCGGAGACCTGCTACGAAGGTGTCGCCGATGAAATCGTGCGAAGCGCTCTGACGAGCGCGACGGACGACCTCGAAGCCGAGCACGAGGCGCTCGCGGACGCGTGCTACGAAAGCCTCGCGGATGAAATCGTGCAAAGCGCCCTGTCGAGCGCGACGGACGACCTCGAAGCCGAGCACGAGGCGCTCGCGGACGCGTGCTACGAAAGTGTCGCCGATGAAATTGTGCAAAGCGCCCTGTCGAGCGCGACGGACGACATCGAAGCCGAGCACGAAGCTCTCGCCGAAGCCTGCTACGAAAGTGTCGCCGATGAAATTGTGCAAAGCGCCCTGTCGAGCGCGACGGACGACATCGAAGCCGAGCACGAAGCTCTCGCCGAAGCCTGCTACGAAAGCCTGGCAAATGAGATCGTGAAAAGCGCTCTGAGCGACGCCACCGACGACATCGAGGCGGAGGAGGCGGCGTGCTACGCGTGCCTCGCGGACGACATCTGCGCGACGGTCGTCGAGACCGCGCTCGAGGACCTCGGCACGGAGCGGACCGTCGAGGACTGCGGCGACGCCGTCGTCGAGGCCCTCGTCGCCGCGGCGCTCGACGAGGGCCTCGACGAGGCGCGCGCGGCGGGCCTCGCGCGCGCGGCGGGCGACGTCGCCGACGCCGTGCTCGAGGCCGCGGCCGAGGACCTCGCGCGCGAGGCGGCCGAGGCCGAGGCCGCGGCCAAGGCCGAAGCCGAGGCGGAAGCGAGGGCCGAGGCGGAAGCCGCGGCGGCAAGCGAGGCGGCCGAGGCGCGGGCCGTCGCCGAGGCGGAAGCCGCGGCGCGCGAAAAGGCCGAAGCCGAAGCCTCGGCGGAGGCCGCGGCGCGCGAGCGGGCCGAAGCCGAAGCGTCGGCGGAGGCCGCGGCGCGCGAACGGGCCGAGGCGGACGCCGCGGCGGAGGCCGCGGCGCGCGAACGGGCCGAGGCGGACGCCGCGGCGGCGCTCGAGGCGCGCGAGGCGTCCGAGGCCGAGGCCTCGGCCGCGGCGGCCGCGCGCGAAAAGGCCGAGGCGGACGCGGCGGAGGCGCGCGCGCGCGCGGACGCCGAGGCCGCCGAGGTCGCGCGGCTGCGGGCGCGCGTCGCGGCGCTCGAGGCCGAGGCCGAGGCCAACGCCGCCGAGGCCGCGCGCCTCGAGGCCGAGGCGCGCGCGCGCGCCGACGCGGAGGCGCGCGCGGCGGAGCAGGCCGCGGCGGCCGAGGCCGCGGCGGCGGAGACGGCGGCGGAGGCGCGCGCGGCCGCGGAGGCCGACGCGCTCGTCGCGCGGCTCGAGGCCGAGGCCGCGGCGGCGCTCGACGACTCGGAGCCGTCGCCGACGCGCGTCGCCGAGACGCCCGCGGACGCGCCGAAGCGCGACACGCCGCGGCGGCCGCGGTCCGCGTCGACGCCGCCGGCGGCGCCCATCGACCTCGACGCCTTCAAGCGGCGCAACTCGAAGATCCACGACCAGCTCGTGGAGCAGGAGGACGAGATGGACGCGCTCCGGTCCAAGCTCGAGGCCGCGCGGCTCGAGGGCGAGCGCCTCAAGGGCCTCGCGTCGGAGCCCGCCGCGCCCGTGTCGTCCGTGGCGGTCCCCGAACCGACGCCGGAGCCGGCCGCGGCGCGCGCGGAGCTCCCGGAGGCCGCGCCGGCGGACGACGGGGACGACGCGCCGTCGGCGGCGGACCTCCGCGCGCTCGCGGAGGAGGCGCCGTCGACGGCGGACCTCTGCGCCCTCGCGGGGCTCCCCGCGACGCCGCGCGCGCCGCCCGTCGCGCCGCCGGACGCGCCGCGGTCCGCCGCGGGGCTCTTTGGCGAGCCGGAGCCCGACCCGGACCCCGCGGCGCCGGAGCCCGCGCTGCGCTGCGCCGCGGACCTCTTCGGCCCCGCGCCGTCGCCGCCGAAGCCCGAGGTGCTGCCGCCCCCGGCGCCGCCGCGCGAGCGCGCGGCGACGGCGCCGGAGCCGCCGCGGCGGCCCGCGGCGGCGCCCGCGAAGGCGCCGCCGCCGCCGCGGACCGCGAGCGAGCCGGGGGTGCCCGACGCCTTCTTCGGGCTGCCCCCGACGCCCCAGCCCCTCGT